ATATTACATTAAAACTGTATGAGGGCACGGCAGGTGAGGCTCTGCCCAGGTGTGACAGGCTCACAGGGGTCTGGGGATGAGGGGAGAGATGGGGAACTGACCCCATGCTTCAGAAGGCTGATTTATTATTTTATTATATATATTACATTAAAACTGTACTAAAAGAATAGAAGAAAGGATATCATCAGAAGGCTGGCTAAGAATGGAAAAGAATGAAAGAATGAATAACAAAGGTTTGTGGCTCCAAGCCAGCTCACTGTGATTGGCCATTAATTACAAACATCCAACATGAGCCAATCACAGATGCATCTGTTGCATCCCATAGCAGCAGATAATCAATGTTTACATTTTGTTCCTGAGGCCTCTCAGCTTCTCAGGAGGAAAAAATCCTAAGGAAAGGATTTTTAATAAAAGTTGTGACACCCAGGCTGCTCCTGCCTGCAGCTCACCCCTGGGGCACCCACAGCTCCTGGTGCTTGTTTTGGTCACTGTGCACATGGGGACGGTTGGTTCCTGTGAGCAGCACTTGGGCAGTGAAGCTAATTCACAGTGATTAACTGTGGTGCATTCCCCGTTATTGTAATATTTAAATTCAACATGCATTCCTTTGTCCCTGCTCCTCCAAAAAAAGTGTTGTGTGGCTCACACAGGGGTTAACTGTGAGTGGCCCATGGTTTGTGTGATGGAGGAGGTGGGAATGTGTGGCCACTGTGGGTTTTGGTGGTTTTGTCATCTACACACCTGACCAGCCCAGGCTGCCTGCATTGTGCAGAACATCATGGCTGGAACTCGTGGTTCCTCAGCTGTGGATCCATGTGTGCAGAGAGCAGGGACAGCCATTTGCTCAAGACCCAGCTGTTCTTTGCAGCTGCTGAGGAATTGCCACAAAGAATTATGCTGCCCTTTTGCAGGCCTTCTCCCATCTCTGAGCTGGGCTTTGTCAGTTTTGTTCTAACCTGGAAATAACTGGAAAAACTCTGGATGCTGGAAATTCCTGCAGAACTGATTTGAATGTCACACAGGCACCCAGATATTGGTGTGAGCTTCCTCCTCAGCAGTTCATTGAACCTCCCTGTGTTGCCAGGAGGGGCTGAGAGGTTCCCTGAGCCCAGAGTGTGATCCCTGCTCTCACTGCCCCCTCCCCATCTCCAGCCTGAAGCAGAAAACCTCACACTTGGGGGAGGGGGGGGTCTCTCCTTTTATTTCAAAGCTTGGCTGTTGAAGATGAGCAGGGTGTTTGAAGCTGCTCAGTGACCTTGTGTTTCCTCCAGGATTGTGTTTGTGTCCTTGAACCTCCCCACAGCAGCTGGGACTGGTGCTGCAGCCCTTGTGCTGCCCTCCTACTTCATTCTCCCTGCAGGCTGCTCCCATTTCCTACCTCTGCCTCCTTCACCTGGGGCATTTGGTGCCTGGCACTGTGGCTGTTCCCTCCCCTGCCCAGGAGCAGAGCCTGGGTGCCCCACAGCTGCTCCCCACCAGCTCTGCCTCCCTGTGAGCAGCTGGGCAGCTCTTGCTCAATGCCATGCACTGCTGGGCCTTGATTGGAGCTGTTCCCTGGGGAATTGCCTGTGACACCATGGAGTAGGCACACAGATGAGCTGGGGAGGGCACAGGATGCCTCCCCAGGGATGGAGCAGCCTGCTGGCCCTGCATATTCCCTTCCCCTGAGCCTGCCTGTGTTCCCCCAGGTGCTCATTGCCTCCCACCTGCCCTCCTACGAGCTGCGCCACAACCAGGTGGAGTCCATCTTCCTGTCAGCCATCGACATGTACGGCCACCAGTTCTGCATTGAGAACCTGCAGGTACCCCAGCCCCTCTCCTGGGCTCCCTTCTCGCTGACCTTCACACCCCCCTGGTGTCCAGCTTTGCCCTGGTTCTTGTTTTGGTCCCTGTGCCAGTGTGGGGATGGCCTGGTGCCAGTTGCACCTGGTGCCAGGGCACAGGTGCTGGTTCCTCCTCTGGGCACCAGGCATGAGGAGATGGATGGAGCTCTGCCTGGGGAGCTCCAGGCTGGGCATTAGGGAAGGGCTCTTCCCCAGAACAGAGGGAGCTGGCACTGCCCAGGGGATGGATGCAGCTGTGCCTGGGGAGCTCCAGGCTGGGCATTAGGGAAGGGTTCTTCCCCAGAACAGAGGGAGCTGGCACTGCCCAGGGGATGGATAGAGCTGTGCCTGGGGAGCTCCAGACTGGGAATTAGGGAAAGGTTCTTCCCCAGATCAGAGGGAGCTGGCACTGCCCAGGGGATGGATGGAGCTGTGCCTGGGGAGCTCCAGGCTGGGCATTAGGGAAGGGCTCTTCTCCAGAACAGAGGGAGCTGGCACTGCCCAGGCTCCCCAGGGAATGGGCACAGCCCCAGAGCTCCAGGGCAGCTGGATGAGCTCCTCTCACATGGTTCTGGTTTCAGTCCTGTAAGGAGCAGGGAGCTGCACTCAGTGATCCCTTCCAACTTCAGCTTTTCTGTGCTTTAATATTAAAAAGTCATGATTCTTGATAAACAACAAGAACAGCTTAGCAGTCAGAACTACCCAAGCTTGATCTGGGGTTTTTCCTTTTCTGCCTGATCCTGGTTGCAAGACAATCTTTAAACCTCTGCTTAATGTGATCTCTCCTAGAAACTCATTTTGTCTGAGACATCCATCTTTGATGTGCTTCCCAACTTCTTCTACCACAGTAACCAGGTGGTGAGAATGGCAGCTTTGGAGGTGAGTTTATTCCCATTGAAAAAAAAATCATATTTTAATTTTCCTGTGGATTTGGTTTATTTTGAGCACTGTCTGTTTTGAGCAACCCTGCATGATCTAAGAGAGCTGTAGGTTGTGTGGGAATGGGCATGCTTAGAATTAATATTAACAGCATTAATGTTGATAATTGAGTGAAATTTCAAATTCAAGTTATGTTTGTGTGAAGACTGAGGTTAGAATTAATGCTAACAGCATTAACACTGATAATTGAGTGAAATTAAAAATCAAGTTAAGTTTCTGTGAAGACTGAGGTTCTTGAAGGCAGAAGGTGAAGCTGCAGCCAGAGCACAGGATCATAACCCTGATGGTTCTGCCCTTTCTCAAAGAACAAACTCTGGTGGAAGTGGAGTTTATCCAGCTGCTCCTTTGCAGGGATCTGTTTGTTCTGGACCCTCCAGGGGTGTCTGATGGCTCTGTGTCCCTGCCAGGTGTACGTGAGGAGAGCCTACATTGCCTACGAGCTGAACAGCGTGCAGCACCGCCAGCTGAAGGACAACACCTGCGTGGTGGAGTTCCAGTTCATGCTGCCCACCTCCCACCCCAACAGGTCAGACTGCCTCTGCAGGGGCCTTGGGGGAAAGGGGCTTCGTTTCAGTGGGGTGGTTTCCATGAGTTTGCTGGTTTTTAGCTGCAGCTTGGGTTGGATGTGATCTCTGGAGTGGCAGTTCTGGCTGAGTCCAGAGCCTTCCAGTTCCAGACAGAATGATCAATTAATCAGAATTTTAATACAGAGCAGTCAAACAGTCCCTGTCCCCCTCCTGCCAGCCCTTTCTGGCTGCTTGTGTGGTTCTGCTCCTTCCTGCCTTGGCTGCATAGGGTGACATCTTCTGTAGCACAGGATTCTTTGATGGAGCAGACCAAGATCAGAGTTTTATACAAAATAAAACTCTGATTTATGTGGGGTTGGCACAGTTTGATTTTCAGTTTTGCATTCCTTGTGACTACCACCAAAAACAACCAAAAGCAACTAAAAGCGTGATGGTTTGGGGCTACATAACAGTGATGGATAGGGGCACTTATCCTGCTGCCTCCTCCTGGAGGGGAGGGTGGCGTCTCCAGTTCATTTCACAAAAGCAAACCTGATTATCAGAACTTGCAGCACCATTGGGTCAGAGTGCTTTGGCTTGGAAGGACCTGACAGCTCATGTTATTCCAAGGGCAGCTGGCCCTGGAGCAGGTTGTTGTGGCTGTCTGTGGGTCAGTCCATCCCAGCTTTCCCAGCTTTCAGCTGGCCCTGGAGCAGGTTGTTGTGGCTGTCTGTGGGTCAGTCCATCCCAGCTTTCAGCTGGCTCTGGAGCAGGTTGTTGTGGCTGTCTGTGGGTCAGTCCATCCCAGCTTTCAGCTGGCCCCGGGGCAGGTTGTTGTGGCTGTCTCTGCTCTCAGCCCATCCCCTCTTTCCCCCGAGGCTTGGTTGGAGCTCTCTGTGCTGTCCCTGCTGGCTCCCAGGTCGCAGTGAGTCCCCGCAGCCACCGGGTGCCACTGTTGGTCCGTGCCGGGCCCCTCCTGCCTCCTTTGTTCCCCACATCTCTGCCCTGCTCTGGGTTTTGGTGGGCTCTCGTTGCTTTGGAACCCCTCAGGAGTTGTTAGGGAATGGTTTTCAGGCTCTGCTCTGCTGGGAGTGAATGGCTGTCCCCAGGCAGCCCCAGCCTCTCCTGCTGCCAGTGGGACATGTGCTGGGCTCATCTGTGTCCCTGCATTTCTGGAATGTTTGTACATAATTGCAGGCTATTTTTAGTGCCCCTTTATCATGCTCTTCTCTCCCCTTCCTTCTCCCTCCATTTCTCTCTGCTGGCCTCTCTTGCCTTTGCTGCTCAGGAGTTTTGGCTGCTCTGGGCATGGCCTGGATCGGACAGGGCAGCTGGGACAGGGGAGATGTTCCTGCTCCAGGAGCAGCTCCTTGGCCTGAAATCTCCTCTGCCCTTACTCTGGGCTGGCTGGGGCAGGTTCTGAGCTCAGCTCAGGTTCTGGGAGGTGGAGGAGGCTCCATGCAGGGTCCTTGTGCAGGGGAGGCAGGCTCAGGGACAGGATCAGCTCCTCTCCAGCTGCCAGGGATGAATTTGGCTCCTGGGCCAGATTCAAAATCTCAAAACCCCGACATTGTCCTGCTTAAATCTTCTTTGTTGTTCTTGACCACGGTCTGTGTTCATCATGTGCTTTTCTGTGCCTTTTGTAGCACAAATCCTTAGGCTGAAAATGCATCCCAAGGGCAAAGCCCAGAGGCAGAATATCCCAGAGTGAACCTGGAGGCTCTGCAGGGCTGGGGACCCAGAGCAGGTGCCAGGAACCCTCAGGAGAACATTCCCTCTGGGAGCTGCTGTTCTGTGATGCCACTCATTTTTTCAGATATTTTTAATCCCTTTATATCAGATGTCTGTGAACCTTTGGGAGCCCCCAAGTTTTACTGAGGCAAACATCCACGCAGAGAAAACAGCAAACTGATAATGGTTTAAATTTCTAATTAGGTGTTTAAATTCGTATTTAAATTCTTCATTATTGGTATTTAACCCTGCTCTGCCTTTCCTTAATTGTGGCAGAAGCAATGCCAGTGACTCCCTGTGAGCTGGCTGATCACAGCTCAGGCTTTGTGCTTGTGGCCATGGCAGGATTGCCATCAGCTGCCCACAGGGAGGCAGAGAGGACAGAAAAGCTCTTAATGTGACAAAGTCACAGAGTGCAGCCTGCTCCTGGTGGGTGCTGTGGGCAGAATCTGATGGGGGAATTATTTGTTTAAATGAACAGCAGACATCCTCATGCAGGAACAGCAAGGGGAAGGCACAGGGAGGAAAAGAGCTTTTAATGGGAGCCCCAGAGGGCTCTGTGGGTCCAATATCCCAAAATAGGTGAGATATCCCAAAAGCTAGGTGAGATATCCCAAAAGCTGGGTGAGATATCCCAGAAGCCGGGTGAGATATCCCAAAAGCCAGGTTAGATATCCCAAAATTCAGGTTAAATATCCCTCATCCCAAACAGGACTTTTTTAACAACCCCACACTCACATCTAGAGCAGCGTGCAGAGGTTTTTTCCTGCTGTCATTCTACACTGCTCTACTCCCAAAATGTGAATTTCTGACACAGTGACGGCATTTTCTGTGGGCTGTTTGCTCGAGCAGCCTCTGGCACCAATCTTTGGATGCCAGGAGCGACCCAGCCGTGCTGCTGTGGGCTCTGACCCCACCTGGAGGGGTGCCAGGGTCCCCTCCTGGTTGTGAGGGTGGGTTTTGGGGAAGGAGGGATGGAGGATGGTGCCAGGACACCTGGAGATCCCTGCAGCCCCGAGCTGGGTTTGATGTTAATGAGGCTGCAGTGATGTGCTGCTGTTCCCTGCCTCAGAAAGGGCAGAATCCTCCAGCAGAGCAGAGAAGGGGCTGTGCAAGGGGCAGCAGAGTGAATGGAACCTGGATAATTTTATGCAAATTGGACTCGTGCAGCAGATTCAGCTCGGCTGAATCACAGAGGGAGCGGGAGAATGAGGGAGAGGGAAAAGCCAATCAAAATGTATGGTTGGAGGCATGTTTCACTGCCTTCTGCTGAGATCTGCTGCAGAAATGAGGAAACATAAGAGGAACGGCACTGGCCAGAGCCTGTGGAATTGCTCTTTCTGCTGTGGCACCGCTGTTAATGACTAAAGTGGGGTATTGAGCCAGCCTGGCTGGTTCTGCTTTGCTGCCTCATTTCTGAGCTGTGCCCTGTGCTTTGCCCACAGCTGAGCCCTGCATGGCCATGGGGCAGCTCCCAGAAAAAGGGAAATAAAGGAGGAGGGGGCACGGGGAGCTGAATTCAGGGGTGCAGGAGCAGTGGGGCCAGGGGGAGTGATGGAGAGCAGGGCCAGGACAGGAACATTTACAGCCCATCCTGGGATCAGAGCAGGCTCTGCAGGTGAGCCTGGTGCTGCTGGGGGCTCTGGGGTGGCCCTGGAACAGAACCAGGGCATGGAAAGGACCTTGAAGATCTTTTGTTCCACCTTCCCCTGTGCCAGGGTGTGTCGCAGACAGCTTTTGTGAAAAATCCTTTCTTTAGGATTTTTCCTTTTGAGAAGCTGAGAGGCCTCAGGAACAAAACGTAAACATTGATTATCTGCTGCTGTGGAATGCAACAGGTGGGATCTGTGATTGGTCTCATGTGGTTGTTTCTAATTAATGGCCAATCACAGCCCAGCTGGCTCGGACAGAGTGTGAGACAGAGCCTTTGTTATTCTACTCTAGTCTAGTCTAGTCTGTTCTATTCTAGGCTGGCCTTCTGATGAAACCTTTCTTCTACTCTTTTAGTACAGTTTTAATGTAATATATACCATAAAATAATAAATCAAGCCCTCTGAAGCATGGGGTCAGATCCTATCTCTCCCTCACCCTCAGACCCCATGAACACCATCACAAGGGTGCTCCAGGCCCCATCCAACCTGGACATTTCCAGGGACCCAGGGGCAGCCACAGCTGATTTGGGCACCTCACACCCTCCCAGGGAGGGATTTCTCCTGACCCCCCCTTTGCAGCTGCTCCCTCTCAGTTTCAGCCCATCCTCCCTGTGGTGTGGAGAGGCAGGAGAGGCTCCCAGAGCTCCAGGTGCCCCTCTCGAGGCTGAGCTGAACATTTGTTGTGCTGTTTTCTGTCCCTCTCTTTGCTGAAAGCCTTCCAGGGATGGCCACAGGAGGGTTCCTGCTGGGGTAGGAACTGCCAGTCCTCTCTCCGTGCTATTTTTGCCCACTCGAGTGGATCACATGCAGCTCTGCCACTCCTTGCCAAGCTCAGAAAATAGTCCCAACCCCCTGAGGGCTGGAGGCCAGCGCTGTCCTGAGCACAGGCTCTGTCCCCACCATCCCCCAAATTAAACACTTAATATTTAAATACCACTCAATACTACTTAATTTAAAAAATTTAAATTTAAATACTAATATAAACATTATAACAATAACTATGAATAAATATTATAACAATAAAGATATTAATTAAATATAATAAATATATTAAACAAATATTCTAATAAGAAATAAAAATTATAAATATAATAATAAATAAATATTATAATAATATGAATATCGATTATAACAATAAATATATTAAATAGATATAATAATAAATATTATTATAATGAATACTAATAAATATACTAATATACTATATACTAATATACTAATATATACTAATATATACTAATAAATACTAATACTAATATAAATGCTAATTTAAATGCCACTTAATAAATACTTAAAACTTAAATACTACTCTGTGGTACTTATAACAGATATGGTTTTATGTATTTTTTCCCCATATTGTTTTAGTCTATGGGAATTTTTTGTTTCTCAATAATGCACCCAGCACATCCCCTTGCTGTGGACGTGGCTCTGCTGTCACCAAACCAGTCTGGGAAAGTTTTCCTCAAATTAGCCTCCAGGTTGTTCTGTTTAGCCTCCAGGTTGTTGTTTTAGCCTTCAGGCTGCTCTTTTGAGCTTCCAGGTTGTTCTGTTTGGTGCTGAGAATCCCCAGTGTTCCCTGGTGCTTTGTGTTTCTGTGTCCCTGCCTGGTGGGAGCTGTGCGTGGGCTGCTCTCAGCCTGCAGCTTTGGCACTGAGCGTTGGCTGCTTCTCCTGAACCTGTTGCAATTTCCCTGTGTGAGATGCTGATTTGTTTTTCCCTTTGTTTTTTTGCATCTCTGCTGTTTGCTGCTCTGTCAGGGAGCGCAGGCCCTCGCTCTGGGCTCGGAGGGGACCGTGGAAGGTGCACAGGGCTGTGGGTCCCTGGCACATCCCAGGTGTTCTCCTGGGAAATTGCATTGTTGGCATGGCCTGGCTGTGCCCTGTGGGGCAGGGAGGCCCTGGCAGCTCTCCCTGATTTGGGGCAGCCCCTTGGGAAGGTGTTGCTGGTTGTTTGAGGATGGTTCTGTGTGATGGCTCTCACTAACCGGTCTGATTAACTGTGCTTGTTTGATTTCAGAGGGAACATCCCCACCCTGAACAGGTACAGTACCCACCATCTTCTCAAATTCCAAATCCACACTAGAAAGGAGCCTAACCCTGAGTGTTTCAGCATGTTTTGTTGTAGTGCCCTTCTCTTTACTTGGGAAACTCTCAACCATAACTCTTATTTACCTCCCCTTTTCCTCTCCCTTTGTCTAAAACATGTTTTCAGCTTTTCTTTAAAAAAAACCCCAAACTTTGCATGCAGCAATCTCTGGAATTAAATCTGCTGTGTGACTCAGCTCATCTGCAGTGTGTTACACAACAGAATGCTGTCCCAGGGTCTTTTTTGGCACTGAATTCCCAGGTTTGGGTCCCAGGGTGCCACAGTGACCCCAGGCAGCTCCTCCCAGCCCTCGCTGGTTTCTTGTGCATGGCTTGGGATTTGTCAGGGCTCTTTCACCTCCCTCACACCAATAGATGAATCTACATCTCAAACAGCTGACAGCATGTTTTGTTGTGCTTTGGACACTAATTTTTCCTCCTGTGTCTCAGTTGAGAAGTATTTCTTGTTTTAAATAATAGATGAAAAATGTCTGCTGTCTCTTTGTTCAGTTCCTGTTCTGTGATAGTTTTTGTGTGAGTTGTAAGAATGTACACCAAGGCATGTCCTGAAAAATTCCCCTCTTTCAAAACCTGAATCCCTATTATTTATTACTGCTTACAAGCCTATTTAGGGAAAAATAGTAAAAATGGGCCTGGAAGTCTCACGGCTCTTAATCAGAGATAAATTGCAGAAACAGAGAGTGACTTTAGGCACGGAGAGCCATTAATCACCCTGCTGGTAGTTCAGGCTTGTTGGCACTGGGCTCAGGGCTGGATCTCAGTGGGTTTGGTGTGAGGGAAGGAGGAGATCCCAGCAGGGCTGGGGTGGCTGTGCCAGGTCCTGGTTTCTCACACAGTGAGCAGCCCCTGCTCTTCACAGCTCTGAGGCTCCAGAATCCATTCCCTGCCTTTCTTCCCCATCTCCTCCAATTTGGCAGCAAAATTACCGTGTCCCCAAGCCCAGGGAGAGCAGGTGAGGTCCCTGGGTCTCTTCAGAAGTGTCAGCACCTCGCAGGCAGCTCTGGAAGGGAGTCTGAATTAATTCTGTAGTACAGCTCAGAAATTGGTGATAATTACTGCAGAGGAGGCAGAGCCCAACTGTGGTCACCAGAGGAAAGTCCAATCTCATTGTGGGAGAAGCTTTTTCTGCCAGTCTTGGCCATGGCACTGTGAATCTTTAAAAAAAACACAAAAATCACAGAATTGTTGAGGTTGGGAAAGACCCTCAAGACCATGGAGTCCAAGCTGTGCCTGATGCCCACCTTGTCACCCAGCCCAGAGCACTGAGTGCCACATCCAGTGTTTGTTGAACAGAAAGGGTGGGAATGAGAGTGCAAGACTCAGTAAAGAACTTTGGACAAGTCACTGTACCATGCTGCATTTGAGCAGTGAAAATTATAGTAGGATCAGAAAAATCATGGAATCAATAAGTTAATACAGCCTTTGTGAAAATGTACTGAATCCTTCAAGTGTCAAATCTCAGAATTGCTGCTGCTTGAGTCATGTTCCACCTGTAAAGCAAAACATAAAGACAGGAGGAAAGTTCAGTCAGAATTCTCCTGTCATCTCGAGAAATAGCTGTTTTAAGGGGTTATAGCATTATTTGCTGACTCTGGGTGTTCCTGTCATTGAGACAGCATCCAGGGAGGGTGGCACCAGAGGCATGGGTGGCACCAGAGGCATGGGTGGCACCAGAGGCATGGCAGGGCTCTGGGCAGGCTGAGCAGCCCAGCAGGGATTGCCCAGCTGTCACAGACATCTTTTATGAAAAATCCTTTCCTTAAGATTTTTCCTCCTGAGAAGCCAAGAGGCCTCAGGAACAAAATGTAAAATTGATTATGTGCTGCTGTAGAATGCAACAAGTAGATCTTTGATTGGCCCATGTTGGTTGTTTCTAATTAATGGCCAATCACAGTCAGCTGGCTCAGACAGAGCGCTGGGCCACAAACCTTTATCATTCCTTCTTATTCTATTCTTAACTAACCCTCTGAAGAAACCCTTTCTTCTACTCTTTTAGCATAGTTTTAACATAACATATATCATAAAATAATAAATCAAGCCTTGTGAAACATGAAGTCAGATGCTCATCTCTTCCCTCATCCTCAGACCCCTGTGCACACCACCACACAACCCAGCCACGCTGCAGAGCGCTGCCCAAACCTGCTGCCCTGCTGTCCCCTGCCCCTGCTGACTGTGCCCTTGCTGCCTTGCCCCTTAGGATGTCCTTCTCCTCCAACCTCAACCACTATGGGATGGCTCACGTGGCCAGTGTCAGCGACGTGCTGCTGGACAACTCCTTCACGCCGCCGTGCCAGCGCATGGGCGGCATGGTCTCCTTCCGCACCTTCGAGGACTTTGTCAGGTGGGTGCCACCCTGGGCCTGCTCCTGTGCCCACCGCCCCCCCAGGCCCTGGCAGAGCTGGGGAAAGGCCCTGCCAGGCCTGCAGTCAGGGTTAGGTGGTCCTTGATGCCAGCAGGGGCTATTTACAGATCACAAACAGGACAGGACTGCTGGAAACGTGCCTTGAGCTGTTTGATGTTCAGCATCAGTCTCATTACATGGTTGTGACAGTGGGAAGATGCCAGCAGCTCACATCCCAGGCAGCAAACCAAGAACTTAATGTTACAACTCACTTTATAAGTTTCTTAACCAATCACACAAAGCAAAACCACACTGACAGTATTTATATCTGTATAGTATATATTCTATATTGACAGTAGTTCTATCCAATCACCATAAGCACACGTACCTTTAGTTAAACAATGCTTGCTTATTTCCAATACAATACCTGTTTGTAAACCTTAAAACACAACACACAGAGCTCCATTACTAAACTTTAACCTTCCTAATATCCTGCTAGAGAAACTTTTCTGTAGCTTAGAGAGCTATTCAGACAAGCATTAATACACAGACCATTGTTCTATTTGTCTTCGCCTTTCTACAGTTTCAATATTTTTTTGCTGACCTATCTCATGGCTGCTGCTTAGCTCCAATCACAGTTCAGCTGTATCTAAGGCCTGCCTTTTGCAGCTTTCCCAAACCCCTCTGATTCTGTAGATTCCCACAGTCCTGGGGGTGTTTCCCTGCTTGGATCCCTGCGTGTGGCCCAGGCTGCAGGAGGAGCAGTTTGCACACAGAGGGATCAGCACCCCGGGTTCTGCTGGTTGGGAACATGCTGGTGCCTCCTGATGCTCTGTGGATGTGGAAGGGGGACAGATCTTTGTGCTTCCAACCTTTTGGGGCAGAAAGGTTGGAAGCACAGCAGAGCTCTCAGCCTGCACCCAGGAGGTTCAGAGCAGTGTTGGCCAGTGCAGACCCTGGTTTGAGGAGTTGCCTCCTGATCTTTGAGCCCAGCAGGGAGGGAGCCCTGTCCTGGCAGGGCTGGAGGGGCCAGTGCAGGGCTCTGTGTGTGCTGCAGTGCTGTGCTGCTCACTGCTCCTTCCTCTGTGTCCCAGGATCTTTGATGAAGTCATGGGATGCTTCTGCGACTCTCCCCCGCAGAGCCCCACGTTCCCCGAGGCCGGCCACGCTTCCCTCTATGATGAGGACAAGGTAGGGGTTTGTTTGTTTTTTCTGGAAGGTTCTCTGGGGCTGGATGCTCCTCCCTGGCTGAGTGCTGGCAGCAGGAGCTGGGAGCTGTGTGTATTTATGGCTGTGATTTGCCTGCCTGTTCCACAGCAGGTGACTCGGCGTGGGCGGCCGCTCCCAGCTCTGCTCTGCAGCTCAGCTCTTGCTCCCCATGTAAATTTACTTTATGGCTTTCAGCATCAGCACAATTCCTGGGTCCACAGCACCATAACAGAGTTTAAACCCACCATTAAGTCTCCAGACCCTCTCTGTGCACCAGGATGTTGAACTGCATCTTCAGCTGTCTTTGTCCTCCGTCTGACTTGCTGTGTTTCCTGTCTTACACCCTTCCCAGTCCCCTTAAATCCTGACTCTTCCCTCTGCTCTGCCTCTTGGAGCTGTTTTTGGGAGGAAGAGCTGAGTGGAGCCGCTCAGTTTGTGCAGAGATGTGGAGAACAGGTGCAGAGGAGGCAGGTGGTCCCTAATCCGTAGGGATGGAAGTCCAGTTTCCCTTAGAGACACAGGACCTGCTCCACAAGAGTGGGAAGCTCTGCTGGAACACAGCCTGTGTCCAGAACAGGGCTTTGTTTTCCTCTGCTCCGTTGATCCTGATGTGTGGAAGCACTGTAGCCTTTTCCAGAGCATTACTGTCAACCTTAATGTCCTCAGATCCCTCTCTCTGCATCCCCCTCACCTCACCGAGGTAATTTCCTGTCCAGTCTCAGTTTTTCCCAGTTAATCACAGGCTCTTGGAGGCTGAATTTGTAATTCCTTGGAGCTCAAATGGAATTGATGTTTCCACATAATTTCGTGTTGTTGTAGATATGGAAACTCACACTGTTCTGCCCCTAAACTTTGATTAATTTAATTACTTTCCTTGATGCCAAAGTCCTCTAGTGTCCTTGTGCTGCATCTGGTAAAGAGAGGCCCCAAGGATGAGACAGGCCCCTGTGCCCTGTCTCATCCTTGAATTCTCCCAAGGAGGCTCCTGTTTGATGTTTGTAGACATTGACTTGTGTGAAATTGCAGATTTCTGAGGTGTTTGGCCAAGGATATCCCCCGGAGAGTTCCCTGGTGCTCTGCTGAGGTCCTTTCCCCCAGAGCACCTCTGTTGCTGGGTTTAGGGAGCCTGTTCTGGGGTGCTCACTGTTAATTCCTGCTCCAAGGGGACCTAGGAGATGCTCACTGTTAATCCCTGCTCCATGGGGATCTCAGAGATGCTCAGTGTTAATTCCTGCCCCATGGGGACCCTTCCCCTTCCCCTGTCCTTGCAGAGTGCCCGGGAGGAGCCCATCCACATCCTCAACGTGGCCATCAAAACCGACGGCGACGTGGACGACGACGGCCTGGCTGCCATGTTCAGGGAGTTCACCCAGAGCAAGGTGAGCCCCTCTGCCCCTCTGGGGTGTGCAGGACAGCTTGGGGAAGCTCTGACTCTGTGCTCCCTGAGTTTGGGCTGGTGTGGTTTGGTTTCAAAGCAAACACGTTGCAGTTTCATCCTTAATTTATCCCCTCTGGAGCCTTCCCATTGCTTTGGGTGCAGCTGCACCTTCCTGAAGGCACCAGGTCATTGTTGTTCCTCCTAATCTGTCAGGTCAGGACTCCTTCCCTTTAGTTTTTGATGGGATGAAAGATTTGGAAGGTTTTAAACACATCAGGTCAATCTTCAGTAACTGTCTCCACACGCTCTGAAAAATGTGTTCTGTCCCTTTCCCTGGTGATAGAGTTGTTGTGTGAGCAACAGAACCATGTAAAATGACATTAAAATGTCCTGTATTTGTGTGTTACCATAGTCCTAATGCAGTTAAAGTTTATTGCCCTTGTTAGGCTGCTGGAGCAGCCACCTTACACAACATTCCTGGCATGAGGAGGAATTCTTTGGCATGTTCTGTTGCTCCTTTCCTAGTGTGGGATGCACCCAAATGTCAGTGCTGGGACATCTGGGTTGGGAACAGCCTCCTTGTGTCCACCCTGGGCTCTGCTTGCACCTGCTTTTGTGTGGTGGGAAGAATTCCAGTGGTTTGTGGGGCTGAAAATCCCACCAGGAGCTGGGATCCTGGAGCTGCACTGGTTTGGGAAAGCTCATTGTATTTCCAGCTTCCCATTGTGGTATATGGGAACACACCCTGCAGAAATCAGGGGTTCCAAAATGGGGCTGGCATCCACATGCCTTCAGCAGCCTCCTGTCTCTTTAAACAAGGAAAACAATCAAATCCAAGAATTAAAACTAGTTCTGCTTTTCATCTGCTTGATCATGCTCCAGGCGTTTTATGGGAGGGGATAAAAGGAAAGAAATAAAATATATTACCAAAAAAAAAAATCCAAAACCACATTAAACTATCAAATAGGTTGATCCAAATTGTCCAAATAATCTTGCAGTCCCAGCATGTTGTGTGTGGTTTTTTTAATAGAAATTAGGATCATATACTTGTAAATGACTTGTGGAGGAGATTGAGGCAGTCAGTGGAAATGGAGTTTCTCCAGGTGCTGATGGCTAATCGCTCTCTAATAGCTGTGGCCTTGCTGGGAGACCCACATTATTACCATGTAATCAGAATCCTGTTGCTCTGCTGTTATTGTCTGCCACTTGTGGAATTTTAAAAGCAATAACAATTTTTGCTTTTTAAATCATGGCATTATTAAAGTTATTTTCTTCCTCTTGCCATGAATATAGTCACTGCTGCTCATTTCCAAAGGGCTTAACCTTAGTAAAACATCACAGTCTGTGCAGAGAGGGGCTGCTTTGCTCCTGCTTGAGCTGAGCTGTTGTTCCTTCTTTTAAATTGGAAGAGGGAGGAGGAAGGAGAAAAGTTTGAAAAAGTTCAAAAGGCAATCCAGGATACTTCCTGCACATTCAAAAGGCAATCCAGGATATTTCCTGCACAATTCAAAAGGGAATCCAGGATATTTCCTGCACAATTCAAAAGGCAATCCAGGATATTTCCTGCATGGTTCAAAAGGCAATCCAGGATATTTCCTGCACTAATCAAAAGGCAATCCAGGATATTTCCTGCACAATTCAAAAGGCAATCTAGGATATTTCCTGTACATTCAAAAGGCAATCCAGGATATTTCCTGTACATTCAAAGGCAATCCAGGATATTTCCTG